CTTTCGAAGGGAACAGGGACATATTCCTGGGATCACTGAAGGACGATGCTTGGCAGGAGTTCTTGGAAGAATTCAATCAAGAAGTGGGCAGCGAGACGACGCTGGACAAATTCAAGGAGGAACTGTGGGACACAGTCGTAAGATTTGGAGAACCGCTTCTGATAGGAACGGGCCTGGATGAGAAGGCGAGAAAAGAGCTACTGAGCAAGCTGGTAGAGCTGAGAAATTCACGATCTAAGACTAGAGAAGAAAAATGTGAGGACAGCTCTACTCGGAGACAAAAAACTGTAGATAAAATGGTTGATAAGGTTGGGACTAGTAATATGATTAAAAGTACTAATATCCTTAAGGCTCGAGCAGGGGGGAGGCAAGAGTTGGAAGGAGTGGATGGAGAGGTCGAATCAGTGATGGTAGCCACAACACCCTCAAGTAGAGATGTGAAGACTCGCAAGAGGAAGAGAGAAGTGGAAGGATTGGGTAGTCCTTCAGTGGATGCTGTTTCGGAAGGAAACTTGAGAGAGACGGCGCCCATGGTTTTGGCTAGATGCAAGACGGCGGCCTACAAGAGCAGCTCGGAGCTCAGAAGACCACTTGAAGTAGAGAGGGAAATAGAGGTTTCCACCAGTTCGACATCGGAGGAAGACTTCAAGCCTCAAAAGATAAACGTGAAGAGAGGTTCAACGAACGGACAGACATGGGAAGTAGATGTCGGCAAAGAATGGATCTCGAAGGCACACCAGGCCACGGGCAAGCGAGTGACAAGTGATCCATTGGAAAGGAACAAGACGAGGAACACCTCCCGGACGTGGTGGGTGGCTCTTGAAACATTGAAATCTGGGGAGAAGAACTTTTGAAGTTGGAGAGAGAGAACACAAGCGATCACGAGAGACAAAACGTGATCGGAAAACCTGTGGGAAGTGCTCCAAACCTGGAAGATAACGACACGATGCATGAGAAAATGATGGAGCTTGAGCCTCTCTTGGAAGCCTCGGGGGAGCGTAACCTCAGGAGCATTGAAATCACCCATGGAGAATGCCCATGCCACTGTTTAGCGCAAACGGTGTGGTATCCAGATCACAAGAACCTTTGCCTGGTGTGGGATATGGAAGAAATCTGGTCGATCGGACTACCGGATCACCGACAGAAGGTGACGATCTTGGTAGTGAGTACGATGTTGGCTCTGAGATGGATAGAAGAGAATATAACGAAGTATCGGGAAGCGGGGACGCCAACGGCTGAGTCAATATACGCGATAGACTACAGTAGGAGACTCGAGTTGTTTGAGACTGCGTGCAAGGTATTCGCCATACCAACGGAAGTCAGACATGTCTGGAGCCGTTTGAGGTACTTCCCATGGTTTCGGGCGACGCTAACATCCTGGTTGTACATGACAACGAAAGATCACATGAGAAAACATCAAAAAGAGTATCGACAGTTCCAGGCCGAGATTGGGCCGGAAGCTTTCAAGAGACCCCTGTTAACCCATTGTAATGCAATCACGACAGGATGGAAGAGAGTGGGTAAAATGTCTAGAGACAATACCAAGGCGAGGGAATCGATACTAGAGGAGGACCTGGCGAAGAACGTGAGCTTGAGCCTGCACAACTCCTTTTGTTTGAACCGGGAATCTAGGGTGAAGGCACTACCCAACCAAGCAAAGAGGTCGCAAGAGCAAAGAGAATGGATGCGATCCTACGAGCAGCTGAAGGCTTGGGAGGAGATTGTGATTAGCTCCGATGATGAAGAGGAACTGTTGAGACAGTTTGCCGTATCTAGTACTTCAGGGTGCAGTACCTCCAAGGCAAAGAGTGCGAGATGAGCAGGTGGCTCGAATGGATCTTGAGTCTTGAGAGGGAAAGGGGGGCTTGAGCGTGGGTCCGGGTGAAACCAGGATTCATGAAAAAGAAGTTTTAACAAAGCAAATATTGTTATTAATATACTAAATTTATTATATAAATGGAAATACTGCATGACAATTTCCTGATTAAATGGGACAAAAGAAATTTTAAATGATTGGCTTAAAAAGCGAGAATTCGAGGGTGCAGGTGTGTGCAGATTTTGATTGCTGTTTAGCGATAGTGTGAAAATTTTACATGGCTGTGAATTTTGGGGTGTAGATAAACTTAAGTCTGCTGCAAACTTCTGTAAATGACCACTGGCACTGTATCTTGAGTAACACTCGGTTTTCTGGGACTCACTGGCAGAAGACAGCACGCGATGAGGACATCGATCTCGAGTCCGGGGAGTATGTGCCAGTCGGTCATATTTGGAAGTTTGACCTTGAGAGAAACAAAAAAACACTTGATTTAGGAGAGAAATTTAATTTTTTCAAAATTTCGAATGGAGCATGTCATGCACGATTTTCTCGCGATAACTGAAAATCAGAAAAGAGAAGTCAGAACAATCGAGTAACAATCGCGGGAAAGTTGCTAAATAAAACGGTGGGAAATTGCTATTCGCAATTTCTGTCATAATAGAACAAGAGTAGAGCTGTCCCATCTAAAACAGAGACGAGAGCATTCCCACGAACTGGATTGTTGTGATTGGAGTACTATTATTAACTGGACCAGAGTGAACCTTCGGTGGAAAGGTGGACAGCTAGAGTGTCCCAATGGTTCACGAGAACTTACAGTCTAGAGAAAAAACTTGTTCTTATTATTAAAACTGACTAACATTAAACTCATTTTAGTTACTTTATTAATTCTTGAGTTGCTTACCGACTTATTTACTTCCTGGTTCTTGAGCGTGCTACAATGTGAGTACTTAATTTAAATTCTTAGAGTGTGTTTTATAATTGTTATGTTGAGGTAAGGCGAGTTTTAGGTTGATCCATCTGAAATGGATCAAAGTTCCACTGTCTAACAAAAAAGTAACTTAACGGATTGTTCCAACCCGGTTTTTAACGGCGTTCATGTATTTTGGGTATCTAGAGACCTAAGTATGGGGACGTTTCTAATTCTAGAGTGGGGGGGTATTTTTGTAGTAGCCTTTAAGCTGTAACGGGTCGTAGTCTCATGTCACAAACGAACCGAACTGGCTCCGACCGTTCTTGAGGTAGAAAAACACAAGAGATGGTGTCCCTGACCCTTGAGCCAGTGGTTATAGGGCCTATTTCTCTTAAACCTCATGTGTGACTGCAGTAGACGAATGTTACAGTATCTGGGTCTGGTACCTCGAAGGCGAAGAACACAAGGTGAGCCGGTGGCTCTAAAGGGAATTCTAGAGTCTTGAGTCTTGAGAGGGAGGGGGCTCGAGGGTGAACTCGGATGAAATCTGGGTTCACCAAAAAGAAATTTTAACAAATGAGATATTGTTATTAATATGCTACATCTATTATATAAATCAAATTGCTGCATGACAACTTCCTGATTGAATAGGACAAAAGAAATTTTAAATTACTAGCTTAAAAAGCGAGAATTCACAGGTGCAGGTGTGTGCAGATTTTGATTGCTGTTTAGCGATAGTGTGAAAGTTTTATATGGTTGTGAATTTTGGGGTGTAGATAAACTTAAGTCTGCTGCAAACTTCTGTAAATGACCACTGGCACTGTATCTTGAGTGGCACTCGGGTTTCTGGGGATTCACTGACAGTGGCAGCACGCGATGAGGACATCGATCTTGAGTCCGGGGAGTATGTGCCAGTCGGTCATATCTGGAAGTTTGACCTTGAGGGACACGAATATACGTGATTTTGGAGTGAAGTTTTATTTTTCAAAATTTCGAATGGAGCCTGTCATGCTCAGTTTTCTCGCGACAACTGAAAACATAAAATGAAAAATGAGAACGACCGAATTTACAATTGCGGAAAAGTACTTAAGAAAACAGCGGGAAATTGCTATTCGCAATTTCCAGATACAAAAATAAGACACGAGTAGAGCCGTCTTATCCTGAAATAGGAGGCGAGATAATCACGAGAGAAGAGTACAATTATTCGAACTGAACCAGAGTGAACCTTCAATGGAAAGGTGGACAGCTGGAGTGTCCCAATGGTTCAGACTAAAACTTCAATTCTAGAGTCAAAACTTTATTCATTTATTGAAACTGATTAGTATTGAACTTATCAAGTTATTTTATTTAATACTCGAGTTGCTCATCAATTTAATTACTCCCTATTCTCGAGTGTGTCGACAGGTGAGTTCCAAATTTAGTTTTCTTGAGTGTGTTTTATGATTGTTATGTTGAGATAAGGCGAGTTTTAGGTTGATCCATCTGAAATGGATCAAAGTTCAACTGTCCAATAAAAAGTAACTTAACGGATTGTTCCGACCCTGTTTTTAACGGCGTTCGTGTGTTTTGGGTATTTCGAGACCTAAGTATGGGAACGTTCTAATTTTCTAGAGTGGGGGGATATTTTGGTAGTAGCCTTTAAGCTGTAACGGGTTCTAGTCTCATGTCGCAAGCGAACCGAATTGGCTCCGACCGTTCTTGAGGTAGAAAAACACAAGAGATAGTGTCCCTGACTCTTGAGCCAATGGTTATAGGGCCTATTTTTCTTAAGCCTCATATGTGACTGAAGTAGGCGACTGTTACAGAAAGAAAGCTTTTGTGGCCCAGTTTTAGTTTTCCAAATTCAAGCTCAAATCCTGTTCATTCTGACCGGCTGATACAACAAGAGATATTGTCTGTTCCTTGGAAAATCGTCTAAAGAGTCTATTTTCTTAGCTTCTTATGCGAATGAAGTGAATGACTGCTACATTGAACGATATTTCGCTGATCGCCTTATTCAATAGCTTTCTTATTGTAGATCTGTGGTTTTCAGGGGGATAATCCTGAATGTACAACCTCTGTAAGGCAATTGATATGGCTTCTTTCAGGGCAAATTTTGTATAAACTTCTCGCATCAAGAGATATTTTTGTTTCATCTAATGCGGTGTTTTCAATCGATTCTCTGGCATCTTGGGGTTCGACTTTGGCTCTTTTGATCTTGTCTAAAACTTTGCCAGTGTTTTCTTGAAGGTTTACTGAGCAAAGTAGTATTTTTTCTTTATCGCTGATGTTTTAAGATATCATAATGAGTTCGATCGCGGCGAATAAATTGAGAAAGCAATGGACTATGACTGCAGAAGAGCGGGAAGAGTATCTGCAGATAGATGAATCAGAGTATTTAGATGATCTGAATGATGAAGACATTGAAGAATTGGCTCAGTTCCTGGATGATATAGACCCAGAGGTTAGAATTTTAAAAAGCAAATAGATTATTACTCCTTAAGAGTTATTTAAGGGTAAGGACGATTGTCACTAGTCGTGCGGTGGTTTTAAGGGTATTACATGATTTTATTCCCTACATTACTGGTATGTTGTTAACAATCAACGCTGAGTTTTTGTAGAACAACGCGCTTCCAGCAAGAGACAGGTCAAGGTACCAAGTTGACAAAGAACCAACTGACAAGTACAGCAGAGACAATCTCATGAATTACATTGACAAACTGGCAGAGGAATTCAAGCAACAAGAGGGATATGTGCCTTTTACGGGGGAGAAAAAAGGTTAGAAATTGTCGAATTTATTCCTAGCATACTAGCTAATCATGTATTTATTTAAATTTACGGCAAAATTAGTTGCAATATCGGTGACCCCTTTTATTTCAATCGGATAAGTAAAATGTTGAAATTTCTAAATCTGATATTCAGACATAATTGACTTAATTAGAACTGTTCTGCGATTAGACTGTGGTTATATAATTCAAATGTTTTAGGCAAAGTTTGGATTGAGCCCGAAAGCACAAAAGTTGACGAGCCAGAGGATATTAAATTAGAAGACGAGAGTTGGGAACATGCATTTGAAACGGTAACTGGAGACGATCTCATCGATCTGGCGTGTAAGTTAATTTTATGCAACTTTGAATCTGTTATATGTTGCTTTGAATGATCCTTTTTACAAAAAAAATCTCGTATTAAAAGTTTTTTTTTCATGGTATTCAATATTGATTTAAAGTCAATAAGCGCATTGAAGAGACTCTTTTATAATTTGTGATGATTTGTTCGTTTTTTTCGTAAGTTATAAAATTTGTTCACGCTCAAATGTGATTATTCGCGGTGTGGCTTATGATTTCTTTTTAAGCTCAAGTCATTTCTTTGTTAAAAGGAAGGCAAACTGCACTATCGAAGAGCAAAAGTGTAAAGGTCACAAAAAATTTGTCGACTTTTAGTTTCAAACGTGGATTTTAATTTTCAGATTTCCTTGTGGAATAAAAAAGTTTACCTATTGTTCTAGTTTTTTTTCTTAAATTGTATCAAAAAATGTCAATCATAGATTGTTCTTGAAAAAAAGTTTCAGTTTAAAAAAAGTGACTTTTTCCGTTTCCTTGCATCCATTGAATAATTTCCAACTGGCTGTTGGCAATGATTTTTAACGATTGTCAACTTTTGCAAGATTAAGTGTCAGGTAATTTAGAACTAGATTTATTTTCCGTAAACAACTTTTCTTACAATTCTATAAGAAATTGAACTTGCCGTGTTATTGAACCCCAACAACCAGGCTCATTCCCACTTTGTCTGGAGGCAACGTGAATGCCTTTGCACCGTTTTTCCGGGTAAAATTCTATTTTTGGATTTTGGTTTGTCTGCTTTTGTCGATTATATTTTCAAAATATGATTTTTTTTCTGATTTGAACACTTCTTACTTTAATTGAACACTAGTCTTGTTATTTTGTCAGTTTATTTTGATTAAGTTTTCTTTGTTTTTTTTGTTCGGTTAAAAAGATACCGGCTAGTGTTGTTTCGAATAAGTCTTCTTCTTTTATGTCATTTGAAGGACAAAAATTGATTCTTACGATTTTTGACTAAATCGGGACGGTTTTGGTATTAACCACTCTGAACTTAATCGCTCAAAAAATTTGATGACAATAATTATAATTCTCTATATTTTTTTTGTTTCTGCTCACATTTTTGCCTGCCAAATTTTTTTTAGTTTTGTGATTGCTCTTCAAATAATACTAAAATGTTTTTTAATGCTGGTGGTAGATGTTTTTCTGAAATTAAATTTTTCTATTTTTGTGTCATGTTTTTCAAATTAAGAAGTTTTTCTAAGAAGCGATTTCCGTGTCATTTTTATTCACTAGCTTGCAATGCTACGCTTGCTTTGAATTGCAAGTGACGCAAAGCAATGCTTCGTCTCTGTGTAAATAGCGTGTTTTCTCAATGATTTCATAAAAATGTTTACGAATTTACGTTGGCAATGTGGGAATTGCTGAAGCGCACGCTCAGATAAATATGCATGAAACAAGCGAACTATTCGTAAATCGCTCTGTTGAATTTTAAGTTTTTTGTGTGCATTATTTCCGATATTCGTTTATATTTTCATATCATTGTGAGTTGTTTGTGTTTCAGCCATTCTGGGCATCCATCAGATGGTGGACCAGACACAGTACTGGGCAGCTCAGACTGCAATTAAAAAGGGAGGATTTGACGACAGCCAAGTATCTGGTGAGTCATGAAGAGCAATACTTTTTTTGGAAGTTCATTGATTGTCTCGAATTAAAATTTGAGTTCATTTTCTCGACAAACAATATGTTTAGGGTAATTAGTTACTTTTTTGGGCCTTTTTTATTTATTACGCCTTAAATCATAAAAATTAAACTTTCAAAACTGAAATGGAAACGTAAATATAAATACTGGATTCTGATAGGCTGAAATGAAATACTTTGTAAATGAAGCGCTGTTATATGTTTTTGGGCGAGATAAGTAAAACAATCTAAATCGGCATAAGTTATAGGGTTCAAATGTCGGGTTCAAATAGCCGCAGCATTATTACAGTAAAATATATAAATTAAATTAGTTCATATTCCAGATTGGTTACGTATCTGTATCTGGTCACTAAACAGTTATCTTGAAGCAGATGTCGTAATTAACTTCTTTTTTCTTTGACCGAATCTGAATTCTTTTCTCACCTAGTTGAACTTTCTTCGGTTTCAGCTCTGATACCTCATGGCAAGTAGTATCTGGCTTAGAGATGGTTTGCTGGCTGACATTGCACGTCTATCACGCTCAGGCATAACAACTACTTACGGGTTAACGAAACTAACGTGTGCTGTTTTCTTAGTACTTAACTAATCAGCGGAGTTTTCTCGGAAGTTTGGTTCGCCCAGCTGACGCAAAGATGTTCCAGAAATTAACGTTGTTCTTTGGTAAGTGAAATTAACCAGCGATTTTTTTTTCTATTGATACATCCTAAAATTATTATTGTAGATATCCACCTAAATGGTGGTGGGCAGAGATGTTTATGAGGAGCGGTTGTGCTTTGTTGCATACAAAAACAGAAATTACGGGAAAACATTTTATGAAATTAGGACGATTATCTGGATCATTCTGTTTCAATATCCAACTCTCATAGAAAAGCATTCTTTAAGCTTTTTACAATTCCGTTTTTGTTTTGAAGTAAAATAAATACTCGGTTGCTCTTTTGCAAGAAATCATGGGTTAGATAATTGTCTATGGTCTTTACGGGTTTTGTGACAGGTGTTCCGACGGTGTCTGTGCCCTCCCGCTTCGACCCGGAGGCGAAGAACAACACAGACGTAGAGTTAACTGTACAGATGGTTAAGGACAATGACCCCAACTGCACAGAAATCAACTTCAATAACATACCTGTTAGTAGACGGACTGCTTGTAATGAAAGTTGAATATATATATTTTTCACTATCCGAAAGACAAGTTTGTTGGTGAGACTATGATACTGACTTGTAATTATTGGTCGTGAAAGTAGAGTAAGAAGGCTTGTAACATAATAACAGATGGGATTGCTTTTCCGTGGACAAATAATGAGTGTTATGGAGTTGCTACGTACGGAGTTTCAATCTTCACGGAGGTTAAATGTGGAGGATAGAATTATATGGAGTTGATTTTCACGGAGTTTAATTTTGAGGATATAATTATATGCCGGATGTTCAAAAATTCGACAAATCCGACAAAATTTTTCAAAAAACTTGGGGTCGGATTTTCAAGTTTTTCGAAAAACTTCGTCGGCCTCTTTTTCAGGTTGACTAAATTGGTTTTTCGAGCTCTCCCAAAGCACTAACTGTTTTGGCCAAATTTTTTGGGCCGCAGGCGATTTTTTGAAAAAACAAGCCAAAAAACGCATTTTTAGGCACTGCTTGAAAAATTTGAACCAAATTTCACCACTCAAGGTTAGTATAAATGAACACGAAAGAGGACCCCCAGTGTTTGACTTTTCAGCCAATAATAACTTGGTTGTTTTTTGTGTGTTTAGAAGATCCCAAAATACGTCTATGTTGAGTTTCTGGAGGCACTGAAGGCTAACACGGTAGTGAAGAGAGTCGACTTGGCCAACACAGGCATGGACGACATGCTAGCCTATGTGAGTCGCAAAATTTGCATTTTTAATGGAATGTAATACAATAGAAGCCCTTTTATAAACCCTATTAATTGAACAGTTGAAGGGCGATAACTAGAATTTTCTTGAGGCGGGCGGTTTTTCTAAAGGTTTCTTTCGGCTGATTTTCTGAAAATGTCTATCGGAAACTTTTCTGTTGGTTTCTATCGTTTTTTGGCGCATGTTGCCCCTCACTGTTAATACGTAGGTGCCAAAGGAGCGTTTAGAAATATCTGGGGCTCGTTCAGCCAAACTGAACGTAAAATTGTAACAAAGGATGGTAAGGGTCTTAATATTCTGAGCCCCCCCCCCCCCGTCTTCAACCAGCTCTTGGAGAGTAGCATGTAGTTAATCTCCACGGACATGTAGTTGCTTTTGCGGACGCCTACCTTTGTAATCTTTGAACAGAAGATTGAGCAATTACACTTTCTAAATGGCTAAATAACTGATTGATATCATGAAATTAATATAGAAAGCTGTAATGCTTACAAGGCAGTCAAGGAAATAGTTAATTATTAGTTCCGGAAGTTTTGAAACAAGGTATTTTACTGAAAACTGTGTTTTTAGGCGCTGGCAGATGTGTTGGAAGCGAATAACGTGCTGGAAACTGTTAACGTGGAGAGCAATTACATCACAGGCGAAGGAGGACTCACGGTTAGAAATCGACACTTCGATTGCCTCAAAAACTTGTCTTCGAGAAACCCGTGTACCAATTCTAATTTCCCCATCTAAGATCATTGTTTCTTATCAGTCCAAAATGATATATTTCTCATGGAGAACTGTTATTGGTCAACTTAGTTAAGCCCGAAGTCGCAAAAGCCAACTTTGAGGTGAAAATATTTTGCATTCGAAAATTAAGGGAATTTACAAAGCAAAAACGAAATGTTTTAGGTGCAAGTGATATGTTTCCTCGGTTCATTCTGCTTTCCCCACTTGTGAATTATCAAGGGGATTTTTTGTTGATTTTGTCCGATTGTTATAAAATTTGACATGCGGACTAATGAAGCCATGACAAACATATTTGGTTCTCATATGTAACCGTTAAATACCACTCCTTACACCATAAAACTGATGCTCTTACAAGGTGCTGTTGAAAAAGGAAAAAGAGCCGTTTGCTCTTCTTGATACAATGGAAGATGCTGTTACCACGAAGCACGACTTTTCCTTGGAATCCTTATTTTTTTTTATTTCAGAGAATCGCAGAGATGGTGGAGGAGAATCTAGTGCTCAAAGAGCTCAGACTGTCCAATCAGGTTAGTAGAATAAAATCGGTTTATTATTCAGTTTGTAGAAGCAGCGAGCTGGAAGTTCAGTATTCGAGCGCTATAATATGGCAATTAACAAAATTATATTTTCAAAAATCCATTTTTTACCTAAGTGTTGACACTTATGTTACTAGCCTGTCTAATGACACTTAAGTTAATTTTGAATGCTGATTTATAACATAAAATGTAATATTAGATAAGGATCGTGTAAACCACCCCCCCCCCCCCCCCCCCCCTCTATGGTACCTAGTAAACAATTTCCACAATTTACCTTGAAGAAATATTTCATCAGATAAGCATATACGATTTTTGTAGCTTTGAGCGAACTTCACCCGTTTCCCTTTTGTAATAGGTAAAAGACGGATAGTTATCAAGATGCTTAGATATTTCAGGATAAGCTACATTGAAGACAATTCAATTACTTAAGTTAATTAATGGGTTTCTTATTTGCAGTATCAGATTGCTGGACAGAAATGTGAGATCAGAATAGCGGAGATGCTAGAGGCGAACAAGACCATACAAAAGTTCGGATACAACTTCCACATGCCAGGACCCTGTTCGAGAGCCATGAATGCCCTCAAGCGAAACGTCGAAATTAGTGAGTAGCACTCTTATAGAATAAATCTGATAAAAATGAATTTTAACTGATTCCTGGCAATAATATTTTTTGGTTGTTGTAGAAGTAATAGCTGATGCTGAATTTGAGAGGATTGATTTGAGTAATATAAATGCCAGGAGATAGCACCTGAAAATTTTGGACTGCCAGTCGCTCGGTAGAGATTAACTTATAAACGCACCTGATTAATGCTTTGAAAAGTTTGGAATTCGGAAAAGCTTTGCATAAATTGGTCGGATCGCTGAATTTTTTTAGAGCTGAAGAATTGACTTATGAATATTTCGTGAATATTGATCACATATTCCGTAATTGATGTTCGAAATATGTTTTACTCAGTATTTGTGCTGTAGAAGGATAAAAAAAAACGTTGTCATTCAAACTTCTTTGATTGAAATTTAGGTCGTAAAGTGGAACGCGGCATTGTGGATGACCCGACTCGGGAGCGAAAGCCGACGCCAAAACTACGAGATGACCTTCTGAGCCAACTGGCGGAGAAGAAGCGCCAGACGATCGCGACGCTGAGGAAGAAGCGTGTGGAGATGGAAAAGGAGGAGATTGAGAGACGGAAACAGGAGGAGTCCAAACCGAAGAAGCCAGTGTACCTGACGCCAGACCACGTGCGAAGGAAAAGGGCCGCTGACGGAATCACGGGTGAGTTGTTGTTCATGTTTCATATTTGATAGTTTTGGAAGTCAAGCTTCCCATCAAAACTTTTTCAACGGATTTCTTGAACTCGCCTTGAGGGGTTTTGAAGAAAGTTTTTTTGAAGAACGTGTTCTATCTGCAGAATTTTGGGACTTGCGGACTTAATGAAATAACTTGTAGATTGAGGTAACACATCGATTTTTCATAGTCCAATTCAATTTTTTGTGCGTTCGTAGGCGAGGAGGCGGAAGCATCAGAAGAAAAAGAGGAACGAGATGAGGAAAAAAGTGACAATGAAGAAGACAAAGAGAAAGATGAGGATGAAGAAGACGAAAAGAAGGAGGGCGAAGATGATAAAGATGACAAAGAAGACGAAGAGAAAGAGAAAGATGATGAGGTTGGTTGGTTAGAGAAGCAGAAAGTTGTAGACAGTTTGCCCCTATCCAAATGGCCATGCTTCACATCATATTGAATCTTCACAGAGGAATTATCTGTTTTGACTTTGATGTTTGTGCTTGATTTTAGCCAATTTCGATGTGTAAATGTTTGAGAGCTATTTGATTATCTGTATTACACTGCGAGCGTAGTGTAATAGTACGATAATTGTTTTTTCTGCAAGCTAAGATTTCCTCCAAAGATTGGTCGGAAGATCTCCTGGTCGTGGGATCGAATCATCCACAGGCTTTGCCTAAGTGTATTTATTTGTAATGAGCAGGATAAAATGTCTTGTTGCTCCTCATTTTTTGTTCTAAGCGTTCAGCCTTTTACTCATAATTTCTCATTTTTCAATCAGTCAAAAACAAATGTTTAAAATTAGTGTTTTTGACAGGATGAAGAGACGGAAGTCGACACAGAAAAGAAAGAGGAAGACGCATCAGAAAAGGACGAAGAGGATGAAGATGAGAAAGAAGAAGACGACGAGGATGAGGATAAGGACAAATCTGAATCGAAAGCCGAGAACGGCGAGGAAGAAAAAGAAGACGACAAAGAAGAAGAATCGGAAGCAGAAGACGAAGAGGACAAAGAAGAAACAGCGAAAGATGACGAAGAGGAAGAAGCCGAAAAAGTGCAATCAGAAAAAGACGACGACGAAGAGGAGGAAGAGGAAGACGACGAAGACGAAAAGAAAGAGAACAAGAGCGAGGACCGAACAGATGCAAAATCTGAAGACGACGAAGAAGAGGATGAAGAAGATGCAGATGAAGATAAAAACGATGTGAAAGAGAACGGAAAAACTGAAGACGATGACGAGGAAGAAGATGAAGACGAGGACAAAGAAGATGATAAAGGCGACAAAGAAGAGGAAGACGACGAAGAAGATGATGACGACGAAGAAGATGAGGACGACGAAGAAGATGAGGATGACGAGGAAGAGGAATGAAATGTTGTCCTTTAAGGAAACGTGACCAGATGCTTCTTATAGTTAATTATTTATGCCCTGTTAGGAGGGCCAATTTTCTTTACTCTCTACGACTTAAAAAAATGATATTTAATCAAATTTGCTACTGTTAAAGTTTCTAATTGATGTTTTAAAAACACAGATCATCTAAATCAATTCACCCTTCTTGAAACTGGTTTTACCCTTGTAATTTCAAATTCGGTAGTGCAGATACTTGAACGTTTTGTCCTTGCTCAACTTTATTTGTTAGAAATTAAGAATTTAGTTGAGCGTAATTCCACGTGCGAGAGCAAATACACTTGTATCTGAGTTTTAGATTTTCCATTACACAGTTTTGTTCCAAGTCTGTTAGAAATCGACCTTGCCTTAATGTGAAGCCGCAGTCACTTCCAGACCCGTTTCCAGTTGATCTAGTAGAAAAGTGCGTTCCTAGGAATCGCAAGGTTCGAGTCCCCACCCGAGTCCTCACCCTTTTTTTCAGGAAAAGTCTTAAAATTTGTTCAGGCTCAAATTTACTTTTTCGCGGTTTGACTTTTGATTTTTATCCAAGTTCAATTCGTTTCCTTTGTGAAAAGGAAGGAAAACTCCACCATCGCACACAAAAGGGTAAAGGTTACCAAAAACGTGATCGACTCCTCTTAGTTTCGAAAGTGGAAGTTTTCACATTTCTCAGCGGAATAAAAATTTTCTTATTGATCCAGTTTTGTCAAAGTGGGTTAATTTTATCAAAAAAGTGCCAGTCATAAAATGTTTACAAAAATGAAAGAGCTTTTGAGGCGTCTATTTTTTCTTTGAAATTCGAAAGTTGAAGTTTGTTCAAAAAACGAGTCAGAATGTTTTTTTCTGTTTACTTGCGTTTATTGACTCTGACTGTCTGTTGAATATGTTTGTCTTGCAGAGTTTTTGCTGAAGCACAGACGTTTTCTGATTTAAGCTAATTTTCTAACTGATAGTCGTTTTGTGATTCGCACATTTTTACCACCTGCGATTTATATAAATAGCTTTTTTGTTTCCTTTTTTTTCGCTCTATAGGTTTCGGCTTTGTTTATATCTGCTCAGACACCTAATATTAGGTCGTTTGAACGTCAAATTTAGATTCGATGTGTTTTAGGAGACATAAGTGGTCCAAATTTTCAACACTTGGTAGATAACTTAAGAGTCGATGAACGTAGTTCAGACTCTCATATAGGTTGCGATGATATATTTTTTTCGTTTTTGTAAGTTTAACAAAAAGGGTCAATCATTAATTGTTCTAGAAATTGAAAGCGCTTCAAGGCCATACATTTTCTTCGATTTTCGAAAAATGAGATATTTTCAAAAAACAAGTCAGTATTTTTTTTTGTGTTTATTTGCATTCATTGACTCTTTTTAAACTGTCTGTTGCTCCTCGGTAGAAGTTTCCGAATGCTCATTCAACGTTGTTTCCTTGACACAAATTTTACAAGGTCTTTTGTTCTAATTGTAAATTATTGAAGGCATTTAGTGTTTTATAGCCGAGAACTAGACTCTTAAACGTAGTCATAAGAATTTTGATTGTAGCCAACTGAACGTTTTGAGTGTGTTGGAGAATGGGCCCTATTTGCTCTTGGAATAATTAAAGTCCTAAACAAAATAGAATAAATAGCACTTTTCATATAGTAATTTTCTTATATTGTTTTGTGGCTGAAAACAGGGTATCGCTAGTCGTGCAAAGTTCAAACTCGCCTGTGTCAAATATTAATGAATCAATTTTTTTTTGAACTTTGACCAACCAGGCTTTCAAAAGAATGACCTAAAGACTGCGCAATGGTAGCGATTCGGATATTCTCTGCTACAAGACCTAGCCTCACACAATTGTTTCCTTGAGCATCTGAAGCAGCGATTAGCAAGCGTCTTTCAACAGGAATATACTTTTGATTCAATCCTCATTCACCCACCTAATTGATCAACACCAAACTCAACAGCATATGATAGAAGTTCATCAGCATCATCTGACATATCACGCGCATCTTGCTCAATTTTACATAATCTTGCTTCGCCAACAATTTTTAAACTGGGCTCAGACCATTTACACGAATCATCCCCTTGCGGAGGATATCTCTTTTGCGCATCTTAGAATTTGAATGCATTTTAAAAAAAGCAGACCGGGAAAGTTTTAAAAATGAAAATACTCTTGCAAAGAAACCTATTCAGCTTGATGTAAATGCCGCTGAGCAATTTTTCGTTATACAATTCTCTCTGCATCCCGTCAACAGATTCCTGCAGGCCGTCATCGTTTTTTTGTGCTTGCACTAAATGCCGGCAAAAAAGAAAAGAGGACAACAAAGAGACATCAGATTAACAAATCAATCAGATCTACTTTAATATTAATTAAACAAATCATGTTCAAAACAGTCAAGGAATCATAAAAGAAATGGCGAGGATTCCTCCAGAGCTTCAGTCATCATACATCATCTAGCATGCTCTGGAAAGTAGTTCGATCGTTAAATGGCTATAAGTCTGTGGTAGGAAGCAATCTAACACACTAAACGGAGAACACACAAAAGCATAAAGCTCAAAGACTAACCAACTGAGAAGCTCTGACACTCAGGTCAGCTGATTCTTTCAGTCTTACACTATTTGAAATGGAAATATATTTGAATGATTAAACCTATCAAAAGGCTTAGGACCAGACGGTCTATGCACGGTTCATCTAAATTATTTTGGCCTGGCAGCTATTGTTTTCTAACACACATTTTTATACGCTCTCTGTCTCTCAACCTCAAATATATAAAATTTAAGTGTTACTCTGAGAAAAAGTTGGATAAAAAACAGTCGTTAATTACAAAACCCCGCGACACATGACAATCTTAAACACATGACAATTAAGCACATTACAATACATTAACAATCTCCCGTGTAATTTAATCAATTGGAAAGCTCCGCAAAGCAGCGATGTGTTATAGTTACAGCCGCTATTGAATGAAGTCAATTGAAGAGTGTTGTATACAGCGAATCAGCGTAGTGCGTGATACGCGACTATCTTTGGTCAGACAATCAGCGACCTGTTGGTTGGTTGATATCCATCTGAGACTTATTGATGTGTCTGAAGTCAAATCTCGCAGATGGCCGATCTCAACACGCAGACGACGGTCTGCGACGGCTTTTGTCGAATACGTCGCATCAACCAGGGATCGGTTGTCAGTATATACATCAATAGGGACAATTTTTCCGACTATTTCGTGCAGCATCTTTTGCATTAAATAAGCAGCATCTACACCATCCGAGCAAGCCAGTGCTTCGGCTGCGAGTGTACTCCGAACGACGCGTTTTATTTTCTGCGAGCGATAAGAAATGAGCGAGCATCTGGAGTTTTTGGTATTCGCCAAGAAGACCAAGTAGCCTCCTTGGGTTGCTCCTCCCGCCAAGTTGTTCAGTGATGCGTCTGTGAAAACAATGATTCTCCAGGACTCAATGTCGTCTCCAAGAGATGTCATGCACGTTCCGTAATTGTCGTATTTGAGCTTGCGGACTACTTTGTTCGCTGCCAGGACTTGCTCTACTGTACTGGCTGGCAGTTTGCTGATAAGGAGGCTAACTTCGAACGATATATCCGGTCGTGTGTTAGACGACACCCAGTTCAGCTTGCCTAGAAGTTTCCTCAGGTCTCTCACGCCTTTTCTAGACAAAAATTCTGTTCGAGTCGCATCAGATGGAACATCTATCTCCTCGATAGCTTGGATGTACTTCTGTTGTTGGATCAAAATGCCACGTTCTTCTCTGTCTAGTTGGACGCCTAGGTAGCTGCATGGCAGATCTGACTGCTTTCCAACATCGAAAATCATAGAAATGTTGTCTATAACTTCATTTTTGAACCCAACAGTGCCTGAATACGCAAAATCGTCTACGTGGACGCACAGAACACCGCTGACGTTATTTTGCGGATCTCGCCAGATGAACAAACAGGAGTCGAACTGAGAAACTTGACATGACAAGGATAATAGTTCTTTGCGAACACGATCGTACCAGAGTCTGGAGGCGTCTGCTAAGCCATACACTGGTTTATGCAACTTCCACAGACACTTTGATTCGGCTTCTGGAGGTGGTTTAACATATACTTCCCGCTTCAACTCAGATCCCTGCAAAAAGGCAGTGCTTATATCCAAAACTCCAACTGGCCAATTCTTCGATGCAGAGACAGTCAGTACAAGCCGGAACGCTTCCCGGGCACATGTAGGAGAATCTTTCACGAGGGTTTCCAAATCCATATCTTGAAAACCTTTGGCTACCAAACGTGCTTTCTTGGCACCAGTTGTCTTCTGAGAGCAAACCCAGCGTAAATCAATGAAGTACTGTCCAACATCATGAACTTCCGTGTAAACTGAGCGTTTAATCCAGTTTTCGAGCTCAATCTGCTTTTCAGCAACAAATTGATCGGGTTGGTGTCCTGCGATTAACGCATGGCATTCATCAAGTTTCTCCCAAGTCACCATGTCTTTTGTGAAATCTATGTTACCGGTCATACCAGCAACATTGTCTGGAGCTGTAAATTCAACATTGAAGCATCCTTTGTACTTCCCAGTTGCTTTTCCAGCGCGACTGATTACTAGACCTTCGTATGACTTCTCTGGGTCACATCTGGGTACGAACTTCACGAAATCACGCACTTTCGGATAGTCTTCTCTTTCTTGCGTCTGAAACTGCTTCTTCATACCGTTTTGAGCGTGATTATTTACTTGTTCAACGCTTTCCTCTGGTGGAATCCGGTCTTCAGCGACATTATATTCTTCTTCATCACTCTCCACTGCAGTTGATGGGCAAGTTCTGGTGTCTACTTTGGTACTTTCTGAACCAATGACTAACGGAATTTCTGTTCTGTTCTCGGGATGCGCCGCTGTGGTCAGCGTTTCTATACTGTCCGACTGACACTTCCGGACGCGAGTTGGATGGACACTGATCAACTGACCGCCATGTTTCACAACAATCTCGGATCCTAGCCGGTTCACAACTGTGGCTGGGCCTCTCCATTGGTTTTCAGATCTTTTGTAAAACACTTGATCAGACGGTTGGACTTCTTCGCTGCTACGAACATTTGTTCTCAATGCTCTTTTGATACGGTTAGAGGACTCGCACTCTATGTAGGCTTGTCGAGATTTGTGGAGCAGGTTCAGATGTTCACGTGCGTACTCTGAGGTCGTCACGCATTCTAGAGCTGGATCTCTATCCTCAATTACATTCGGCAAGTTTGGGGAGGACCCGAAAACCAGCTGAAAAGGAGTGAAACCTGACGCGTTAGACAGACAATTCTTGGCATGTACGGCAAACTGGAGACATAAATTATCGTCTGTGCTCTCACCAGATGACCTTGTTTTCCAGAAAGCTTCAGTAACAATCGCATTATGCCTCTCAACAACCCCGTTAGACCAAGGGCTGTACGATGCACTCGAAATAACCCTGATGTTATAGCACTCAGTCATAGACAGAAACCTCTCGTTGTTGAATTCACCTCCTCGATCACTCATAAATGTTCCTGGTGGTCCAAATACAAGGCACCAATTTCTCAAAACCGCACTTATGATGGTCTCAGGAAGTTTGTTGTGGATTATACAGGCAACGCTGAAACGCGTAAAAAGATCTATAAGATGCAAATAATGCGTATTAGGCCCGAGCTCGCTCAATTTGTGCAAATCCATAGAAACCACCTGGTTGAACTTCACTGCAAGAGGCAAGGAAACCGAAGGTTTTGGTTTAGCACGGCCAAACTTCTTGCAAGTTTCGCATTCATCAACTACACTTTCCACATCAGACTGCAAAGTTGCGCTTTTGTAGCCACTCTGCTTGAGTAGTTGCTCGAGCCGTTTTGCGGAGCAATGTCCAAACTGGCGGTGCATTTTCTTAAAATCTGACTGCGCAAACACTGCCAAACAAACATCTTCATAACCAGGATGAATGTTCAGAAGAAGATGGCCGGTTGACGTCCTCTTGAGGTCTAGCTTTTCGTCAGATTCTTGTATAGCAACAAACTTGCCATCAAAATTGAGCACGAACTTGGCAGATTCCATCGATTTGACACTCAGCAGTAAAGGCAACTCACCGTCAATGACATCACAACTCACAAAACAAGAAAGTGAGCCAAATTTAGCTGGCAAAAAGGCTTTGTATTTAGCGTTTTGACATGCTCCATCTCCAAAAACAATGCGACAACCAGTCTTGTTGTACACAACAGTGTCTGATTGCGTCTTCGAAAGTTTAGATACGTACTGTTTGACCCACTGATCTCCCGCGACTGTTGTTGTACAGCCGGAGTCCAGAATTGCTGACTCATAGCATTCTCTCAGCAACTTCCCGCAGTTACTTGCAAACGTGAGGTATACTTGCGTGTCTGTACCTGAGTCGCAGCTTGAAGGAACGGTACTGGAGGCTATTGCGGGCATTGAATCAACACTCTTTCCGGAATCTCTGTCCGGGCAGTTTCTGAACCAGTGATTTCTGGAACCACACTCTGTGCAGGTGGTAACTCTACCTTCTTTGTCAACAGGATTTCTACCTTTTTTCTGTACGCCTCTCAAAAAACTGTAACTGGCCTGTCCTCGACCTCGAAAACGACCGCGTCTCTGAAACCGATCAGATATCAACGCAGATTCTTCGTTTAGTTCCTCGTTCGCCACGAAAGCTGGTTCGTCTTTTAGCTGCACTCCCGAGGTGGAGGAGGAACTTCCTGAGAAAATTCGTCGCAGTGACTTTTTCATAGTGTCAAAATTCAGCTCATTCGACGCGGAGAGAACCAGTTGGCGTTCATTGGAGGTTAAATTACAGGAATGGAGCAACTTGCACGCTAAAATAGAATCTGGTAATTCCATTTTGAACCGCTTCATTTTCGTGTATGCTCTCTCAAAGTCAGCGATATGCTCAATAACGCTAGCCGAGGACCTTGAGATAGATTCAAAAGCAGTGTACATCTCGTAAGATTGGTCAACTGTTTCTTTGCCAAATATACTGTCCAGTTTTTCCAATAAATCTTTCAAACCGTTCTCACTCTCTAAGGTTTCACCGCCCACTTCCATAGCAACTTCGCGACGTCGGCCACTGAGGGATAGTGCCACAGCCAAACCCAACTTCTTTGCAGGTAGATCTGTTAGACGCTTCCAAATGTCAACCTCGTTTTTCCAAGCGTCATAAGGCATATCTGTTTCCCATGTCGGCGGGGTTTTGACGGAAGAGCTCATTTTCTCCTGCTACCATGAGAAAAAGTTGGATAAAAAACAGTCGTTAATTACAAAACCCCGCGACACATGACAATCTTAAACACATGACAATTAAGCACATTACAATACATTAACAACTCCTGACTCTTTTTTAATTCACCCAACCTTAATTAATTATCTGCCCAAAGCCGAACGTCAAAATGGCTTTCGACCGATGCACTCTAGCACTACGGCGATATCAGTCCTCGCATTTCTCATCAGTCACGGTTTTAGACAGCAAAAGCCACCCACTAGAAAAGTTTTAGCCACGCTTGACATATCCAGGCTGCTCAAACTGGTCACTTTTTGGTCACTTATTTTTTCTAGGTCACTTTTTGTTGAAACTGTTGTGTATTTCATGGGAATCCTGCAATTGTCGAGAGTTTTTTCAGATAAGGTCATTGGACGTTTAATCAGAAACTTCAACAAGAGTTCACCTTTTTGTCCAAAATTGTCGACCTTTTTTTAAGGTTGACCGAATTGATTTTTCGAGCTCTCCCTAAGCACGGTTTGGTCCCTGTTGTGGCCAAATTTTCTGCGCCGCAGGCAAAATTTTGAAAAAACAGTCCAAAAATGGTGGGTCACTTTTTTTCTCTGACCGATTTGAGCAGCCTGGACATATCTAAAGCTATCGACATGGTCTTTCATCGAACTCTCCTGGATCTCCTTCATAGCATCAGCGCACGGGGAATCTTAATCAGATGGTTTTGAGGGGTCATTTTAGGAGTTGGTCTGTCAACAGAAAGGGTTTTTTGTAAAAGTGTTTAACAAAGCTCAGTCCTATCGCAAAATCTATTCAATTTTTGAGTTCATAATGCGCTGTTATTCCTCGAAATTAAACTACAATCATTTAGAGACGGTTTTCACCCCTTTTTCCAAGCAAACAATTTTCAAAAAGCTTCCTACTTTATCGAAATACTCAACTGAGTTACATCGACTTTTAACGTCTAAATATCTTGTAATTTCCTCAGTACAAGGCTCAGTCAGATTTTTTTTCCTCGTTCAATAAGGAGTTCAATGCTGACCCCTAGTGAAATTGAACAAAGCTCTCCTTCCTTTAGAAAAGCCAAACCCCCCCCCCCCCCCCAAATACTCGTTATCTTTTTTGACCCATTCCTTAGGATCGTAGACTTTTTCAAGCGAGCTTCAATAAAAGCCTCGCGCAGGATAGCGATGCTTAAGATCTTTTCGCGGACAGTTTGCCTTCAACCGAAAAAGACGCTACTGGTAACCTAAATCGATTTGGACCGGCCAATTTTGGATTACGCATGCACAGCATGTTCTCATGCCGCCAGTTCTACGTCCTTGAGAAAACTTGAAGTAAAAAATGCTGCTCTGCGCACTACAACTGGTTGCACAAAAATGAGAGTGCTCCAGAACATCTACATTCGGAATTTAAATCTTTAAGTGTTGCTCACCTTCGTCAATTACTCTGCTCAGTCTACATTGAAAACTTACATCCTCTCAAACCCTTCACCTTTTTTTTATAACAACCAACCCAAATCTCCCCTGAATGTCCTCAACCATACGTGAGAAATATGGTACCGGAATAGACAAAATCCTCCAAGACACAACAAACGCATCTTGAACCACTTAAAACGATTTCAACGAACTGGACGGCAGAGGAACTAGTTTCGAATCTGACAAAAACATGATTCGAATCTGACAAGACATTTTTTAAACGTGCAATATTCCGTTAGCAAAGTATCGGCGTTTTGTGTGCTTATGTTTTTTCGGCTCAGTTGCCGCATCTTAGAATTGTTTTTTTTTTACTGTACGTAGTTATTATTTTAGTTGTTTTTAATGTTTTGACTTCTGCTGTTTGTAGTTTACTAACTTTGAATTCTTATATTTTTTTATTATTTTTTTTCGCTTTGAAACTATTCTGACCGAATATTTTTTAGTCTTTTCAACCTAATTTTGTGTCCTTTCACCGTTTGATCGCACATAAAGCTAACAATCTTAGAATAGAAATTATAGTTCAAAGGTTTTCATGGCAACAGTTTTCTACGATTCTACCCAAGTTTGCCGGCTCATTTTCCGCTTCATCATAAATTTTATAGCATTTTCAGTAAACGTCGTCAATTGCGTTTCTGGGAGAATTTTCCGCAAATAGAACATCATACCACTCAATTTTGAAGTTATTTTTTTCGAAATTGTTACATCTTTTTGGGACTTCATTTATTTTGTGGCTTTCCTGTCTTCTAGTTTGCATTACTATTTTTATGTAATATTGCAAGTAGTGCGAAGCTTCTCTTCAATATTTGTAAGAATTTATGAATTGTAGCTCTGTCTTTACTTATCATAAGTGAATTTTTGATCTCATTGCAAACTTTGGAATTTGTTGGCATATGGGACCGTCTCTGATATGTAGGTCTCTTTTTGAAAAATTTTTGTTTTAAGTCGAATTTGATTTTTGGTGGTTTGACTTTAATTCATTTTCAAGTCCAATTCTGCATTTGTTTGATGGAAGGCAAAATATGCTAATAGCTCTTTGAAATAAACTTGTAGTGTTTCAAATTTTCAAAAATTCCATGCATAGAATGGCACTTTTCGAGTTTCATTGGTTGAAAGGGTCCAATATAAACAGAAATTTTTCGCCGTTCGATTCTTTACTTGATTACAATGAAAGTTTTGCGAACCATTTCGCTCTATGAAATAGCTTAGAATTTTTCTAGTCTCATCGCTTGACCAGCTAGCTTAAGAAAACTTGATGTGGCGCAGTTGATTCGCTCTATGATAGAACTTGAAATATTTCATAGTTACATAGCTTGAACAAAAGTTAATTTTTTAGCGGATCGATCAGCTCTTTTAAATATCTTGGGCTCTTTTTCCTTTCCCCCCAACTCACTCAAACATGAATTTTATGGTCTAACGAGCGGTCTTACAAGGTTGATTATGGAGACCAAATATGTTTGTCATGGCCTAATTAGTCGACATGCCAACTTTCATGACAATCGGACAAAGTGAACAGTAACTTCAAATATAAAAATTTGCAGGTGGGGGAAAAAGGAAAAAGAGCCATATCTTGTAGTATTTCAAATTTTCAGCGCTTGATTAGCTTCATAACAAAAACTTTAAAGAAAAATTTAATCTTTTCCTGAAACGATTTGGTCTATAAAATTATGAAATATTACAGTTTCATCGTTTGAATAGCTCCAATAGAAAAATTAAATTTATCGCCATCCGATTCTCTTCATGAAATAACTTGAAATGTATCAAAGGGTCATAACGTTGAATAGATTTTTCGAACCGATTTACGACATGGCTTAACTTGAAAATATTCGAAGTCCTATTGCTTGAATAATTTGATCAGAATAACAACTAATTTTTTTCGCGCCGATTGCTTATTGGAGACGGGCTTACTAGTTATGGTGTTTAACTGAAAGTAAATAAAAAACAAGGGACTAAGACTTATAATCAAAAACACATTTTCCTACTCTTATTTTAAATGATTACGGTACTCTTGTTTTTAAATGATTTCACGCTTGCGATTAAAAATAGTTTTAAATAAAATGATAATCGAAGGAAAGGCATAATATATTCGGCAAAAAAGTCAGTTATGTGAAGTTTGAAATTACGTGAAGCTGTATTCAATGATTTCCTGTTTCAGACATTGTCATGACTTCTGTTGAATATTCTGTAAACTTGATTTCGGCAGCGGAAGTCGGCCGAACTGATTTATTGTCAATTGGGAGCGGCCTTGGATTGCTTTCCCACGTGCAATATCTGGAGAGCTATTTTGATCTATTATTGTTCTTTTTGACTTGGAATCAGATGTTAACTTCATCGCCAACTTCGGTTACCAACAAATTCAAGTGCAAAATACAAAACCAGTGCGGAATAGGACATCGAGCAGAAATTTATGAAGTGCGGCAACCCGTGCGCATGTTGTAGACGTTGTTGCAGAGGAAGCGGAGATCAGGCGGGGCTGTTTTCTAGTTCACAAAACTGAATGTGAATAAATTTAATTTTGGGGCTCTCAATTTAATTAAGGTATACCAAGCTATTTTCTGTAGCCTGTAGCCGCTAGAACATTTTTTCCGTGTCAGAATCAAAAGATTTGAAGAAAAGCTGATTAGAATGGCTGATCAATTTCGCTTGGTATGCTTACTAATTACTTTAAAACTTAACTGGTAAAACCACATGCAACAATAAAATTGATGCGAATGCGGAAAAAGGCCGAATTTTCAAAATTTAAATTTGGAAAAATTATCAGGGCAAAGTAACTGGAAAAGAGCGTTGAACAGGCAGACACAGAGGAGATCACGCACTTGTCGGAGGACGCACCCCTCAAACACTTTGGAATCGATAAGAAGTACTCAGAATTAATAGCACAGAGTAGAGCTCACAACACAGGCGACGCCCCAGATCAAAACGCAAACGAAGCAGGCAAGTACATGAGAAAACTAAAGCTGGCTCTGTTCTTGGCCCCTCTAGTTAAAAAATGGGCTCTAGTCCTCCTCCTCCAGCCCCCCTCACTCCTCGCATGGTCATCAATTTTATGGCTTAGCTAGTGGTTCATTGCAGTTTAGAACAATTCAAGGCATTTTAGAGCTCTTTTGCACTTAAAACTTCTATTTTTATAGTTTTTCTACGAATTATTATCATGGCTAAATGCGTGATGTTACGATGTAAGATACGAGGAACAAATTTGTTCGCAATAGTTTGTTTGTTCATCATGCCAATTTTCATTGCAGTATGGCAATGTCAAAATCTTATTCAAATGTGGGGTGGGAAGAAAAAAGGGCCCAATTTTAGATCGGCTTTCTTCTGCTGAATTTTTTAATGAATTTTTTTCTGATTTTCGATTTTTTCCGAAATGTGATTAATGAAGACTTTTTTCACTTGGCAAGAGCAAGTGACTTGTAATAGGGAACAATAAATTTTTACCGTATACAATTTTTCTTGCAAATTCAGCTGACATGCTCAATTCTGCTCACAAGCTAAGTTCTGTTCACATGTTCATGACCAAAATGCTCAATTTTGTGAAGATTCATTGAAGCTACATCTTAGTTGATTCGATGTAGTAATTAATTTTTCAAGTATATTTATTGAAAAAAATGTAGGTTTTTTTTTCGGATTTGTAGTTTTCGTTTTAAATTATGTCGGCTGATTTTCCGTCTTTTTCCAAGTGCAATTAAATTATCTGGTACGCTTTTCAGGCCGTTCCGTTCCTTTACAAAGCTTCGGTTTTTTGTTTTTTGATTCAAACAGATTTTACTATAGTTGAATGTTACTCTGGTGTTTGTGATTTTACCAACTCTGATTTGTAATAGTTTTATTGTGTTTTTTGGTTTAACGGGTTCGGCTACAAGATCCGGCTGTTTTCCACTTCCCCGCCCCATTTCAATTTTCAAAAACTATTTCAATTTTGTCATAATGCAATGAAACTTGGCATGCTGAACAAACCAGCAATTGTGAACCAATTTTTTCTTCATACTTACAATGTAAAATTACGCATATAGGCTTCTTTCCACCCCCCCCCCCCCCAACATGAATTTTAGGATAGAACAACTAATTAAAAGTTTTCACAATGCAACGACATTTTGCATGATGAACAAACCTACAATTGTGAACAGGTTTGTTTTTCATGCCATCGTAACATCATGCGTTGGCTCTTTTCCAGTTTCCTCCCTTTCAAAATACCGAGTTTTATGTTTGTTTTACGTGTTATTACGGCTAAATGCGTGATGTTACGCTGTACAGTATGAAGAACAAATTTGTTCACAATTGTCGATTTGTTCACCACGCCAAATTTCATTGCAATATGACAATGTTATACAAGCTTTTCAAAATTGATTTTGAAGGGGGGGGGCTGGAAAATCAATTTTTACGGTCCCCCCCCACCCTCTGAAGTTACTATAGGCGGCAACTATAGTAAAAACTCCACACATGATCGCCGCTGAAAGGATCATGTGTGGAGCCTTTCAGCGGCGATCGATACCGATGTCTTTGGACATCGCCAATTCCACATTCAATGGTGCAGCACGGACGGAGAAGAACGAATCGGGCGGGTTTTTGGCAAGGCGCTTGGGTGATCCTGTCGACCTGAGTCGCCGCCTATTAGAGGCAGGAGATATAGAACCCAACCCGGGGCCGAAGTGGCCATGTGGCTTCTGCAACAAGGAAGTCAAAAACACAGGATGGTCCATCAAATGCGTAGACTGTCTCCAGTACATACACAGAGAATGCTTGGGATGGAGTGTCAGAGAGATAAAATCCTACGATGGATACAGATGGCACTGCGGTTGCGACCACCTGAAATCAAACACCGCGGACCCCAACCCAATCAGACCACGAACTAAGGAAGGTCTAAAAATCATCCAGTTGAATGTAGATGGATGGCGCGGGAAAGGGGATGTGGTAAAAAAGCTAGCGTACGATACGCAAGCGGACATTCTAGTCCTTCAAGAAACGAAACTGACCGAGAAGGCCAAAGTTCCGAACAGCGGCGACTGGGTTGTATTTAGAAAGGACCGCACTGTCCACCAAACGGAAACTACCAACGAAAGGGCACAAGGAGGCGTAGCAATCGCTGTTAGGCCGGGGCTAGAATGTAAAGAAATCAGCCTAAGTATGCCTTTAACCGCAGTTCTAGAGACAGTCAGCATAGCTGTGAAAACTGGCAATTCGTGGCTGGAAATTCATAATGTGTACCGACCACCAGCAAAATCCGGACAATATGATCAAAGAGACTCAAAGCCATACCTGGACAAATGGCCATGCGGCAGTAACTCCATCATATTCGCGGATATGAATGCCCATGGAAGCTGGGACCGGAACAAAGTCGAGGACAAAATTGGCGAAGAAGTGGACGAATGGCTAATCAATAAGGACATGTGCCTGCTTAACAGCGGAGGGGCAACAAGAGTTGCGAAAAATGGATCAGGGACAGCACCCGACATTACAGTAGTGCACTCATCCAGAGCTAACCACTGTAACTGGACCACAATAGACTCGGTAGGGTCCGACCATTTGCCAATTCTGATATCCTCTTGCAACAAGGTCAGTAAAGTTCGAACCCGACCAAACCTTAACATGAAGAAAGCCGACTGGCCGGAATTCGAGAGGCTACTAGAACAATCTCTATCCCTGCCGGAGGACTTCAAGTCCCTTGAAGCTTTGGAAAAATTATTTGCTAAAGCAATAATGAACGCAGCTAAAGGATCTATTCCGGTAACCACTCGAAAAGATTGCAAACCATGGTGGACCAAAGAGTGCGCTGTTGCGAAGAAAAGTATGAATAATATACAAAGACAGCTTAGGAAATCCCCTGGCGACGATCTTCTCATTTCGGCAGCCGAGGAAGCTTCTAAGGTGTTCAAGAAAACGATAGAGGTCAGTAAACGCGAGGCGTGGAGGAAATATGCAGCTGAACTCAGCCCGCGGGACCCGACCACAAAAGTTTGGAACACCCTCAGGGCCATGGACGGCAGAAAAAAAGAGCGGCTCCCAAATACTCCTGTTGATTACGGAGGTAAATCCATCACGGCCGACAGGGAGAAAGCAAAAGTTGCTTGTAAGACGTATGCTTCGGTTAGTAGAGTGACAGTCAAAAGGGAAGATTCGAAACAAGCATACTTGACCCTACGCGAAGCAATTAAGTTAAATTGGGACTCGGAAATCAACGAGTCATTTTCCATAGCCGAATTAGGAGAAGCATTAAGAAGTCTTAAACCCAAAAGTGCGGGCTCCGATGGAGTGCATCCGCTAATGCTCAAGCACCTTGCTAATGCTCAATGGGGAGAAGGGAAGGGAATATCTACTCTATTTGGTTAACAGAAGTTGGAGTGAAGGCAAAGTTCCGGCAAACTGGCGAACAGCTACAATTGTGCCGATACTCAAAAAGAAGAAGCCGGCAAACCTAATAAAGTCGTATAGGCCAGTTTCCCTCCTCTCTTGCATCGGCAAAACTATGGAAAAAATGGTCCTCACACGTTTGGAGGAGTGGGCGAAAGAAATCGAATTAGTGCCGCCTGAACAGGCAGGATTCCAGGCACACCGCTCAACTACTGATGTTATAGCAAACATTACACAAACGGCAATGGATAATCTACAGGTCAAAAAAAGAACGCTAATAGTTGCGATCGACTTTAAGGCCGCTTTCGATAAAGTATGGAGGCTTGGTCTCCTACGGGACCTCGCCGAGAGGGGCCTAGGAAGCGTAGCACTAAAATGGCTGAAATCATGGCTGTCGGATCGCCGAGCCATGGTCAGATGGAACGAAGAATTCAGTAAAACTCTAGTTTTCTCCCAAGGTATGCCGCAAGGAAGCCCGCTCTCGCCCCTTCTATATTGCTTTGCAACAGCAAAACTCCCGGAAGCAATTAAGGGCAAGTCGCCATCAGTCATTGTTAACCAGTTCGCTGACGATTTAACTATACAAGTGGCCGCCGAAAGAATAGAGGAAGCGGCAAATCAAATCAAACCAGCGCTTGAATCAATAAACATGGGCTAAATCGAACTACGTGGAACTGGCAATGGACAAAACTGTAGGCTTAGTAGTAACAGTTGATCCGAAAGAAACTGGGTGTAAGAACACTCCAGATTTACATATGGGGGGTGAACCGATTAAATATGAAAACTCAACAGTAATCCTCGGAGTGGAAATTGACACCCAGTTACGTTTCAACGCGCAAGCCAACACAGCCAAGAAGAAACTGAAACAAAGGCTACAAATAGTACGCTCATTGAGCGGAAAAAACTGGGGAATAAAAGCCAATGACTTGAGGCAACTCTACAAGAGCTATATCAGACCCGGTGGCGCGTATGCCTTTGAAACCTGGGGTATGTTCCTGTCGCCTTCAACGCGCGAAAAAATTGAAGTTTGCAATAATGCAGCGGCTAGGTGTATTGTGGGGGCGCCTGCAGGGGCCCCATCAGTCCAAACTCGAGCTGAGGCTCAGCTTAACACAATATACGAGGAGGGCATAGATAATGCAGCCAAGTTACTGGCCAAATGCTGCAACTTCAAACAAAAACATCCCCTTAACAGACTTGGAACAAACCAGTCACAAATAAGGTTAAAAGGAAGGTCGGACTGGCGATCGGAAGCGCAAAAGAGAATCAGCGAAAAGATCTTCGAAGACATCAGAGAAGATGTGAACAGACAAAAGGAGGAGCGTCGATATGAGTTATACTCGAAGTTGGTACCGGAAAACCACCCACACAGACGAATGACAGGTGGGAAACCACTTCAGGAAGGAGAAGGACGTTCGAGAGAAGCAGAAGTTAGTCTCCACCGTATTAGACTCAATAGAGCTCCATTTCTGCGGGAAACCCTCTTTAAACACGGGAAAATAGAGGAAGGGTCGTGCCCGCATTGCTTCAGCGAAACTGAAGACACCATACACTGGCTTACGAAATGCCCCAAATGGGATCAAGAAAGAAATGCGATTTTTGGTGGCCAACCACCCGCGTCAATTATCCAAACGAAACCCGAACAAGTAATCGAATTCATCCGTGCTACGGCGAGCAAGCCCCCCAATCATTGACGGGGACCACACACACACACACACACACACACACACACACACACACACACACACACACTGGAAAAGAGCCGCAAAAATGAGTAACTTACTTACACACATGCTAATTTTTGCAAAATGTCAGATTGCGTTTTGAACTCGTGTAAATTAGCCAAATCTTTGATAGGCGTTCGACTGTTTAACAAAAATTTATAAATGGAAAAATTCGGGGTTCGATCTCACCCCTTTGCCTTATATAGATAGATAGTGGTAGGGCGATCAACCGTGACCTTGAGGCCTCTTGGCGGCTACTACTCGTAAACCCAACTCAGACAAACCACCAAGGAAGTTTCTCAAGGTGACCTGCCTGAGCTAGATCCGAAGAGGGAACTAATGCTCTGCGTCCTCGAGAGTAGTAACCTCAGTCAGGCTTAGCCTGGACCTGAACCAAGTACCCTAGATCCTTTGGTATATCACCCTACCAGTTGTGCTATACGCACTGGAATGTAAAGGATAATGTCGACATTTGAACCATAAGCTGTGTCCTTTTCAGAAGATTTCCACGTGTCTAGAACAGTTGTGTATTGGGCTCTTTTCCAGTCCCCCTTCAATTTTTTTTCTAAAATTCGTTTTATGAAAGTCTATTTAAAATCCATGAGGGTCCTCCCCCCCCCCCCCCCCCCCACCTGCAAATTTTTATATTTGAAGTTACTGTTCGCTTTGTCCGATTGTCGTGAAAATTGACAAGCAGACTAATTAGGCCATAACAAGCATATTTGGTCTTCATAATTAACCTAGTAAAACCACTCGTTAGACCATAAAGTTCATGGTTGAGTGAGTGAGGGGGGGGGGGGGGGGGGGAAGAGCCAAAATGACTTTTCTTGATAGAAATTGCATCAAAACGTGTCAGTGTGAACAGGTGAATAAAATTTTTACAACATTTCTTACATGCGAAAAGCCGTGTGAACAATTTTTGAACATCTCAATTTTGCAATTTTACAAGGGGGTGGGAAACTGGAAAAAAGCCCATGCGTTTAGCCGTTATAACAAGTAAAACAACTATGAAAAAGGAAAAATTGAAATATGGTTGGAAAGTGGAAAAGAGCCCGCTTTTAGTCATAAAAACACACAAAAGAGTTAGAAGAAGAGAGAATTTGAAAGTTGGGGGAAACTGGGGCTCTTTTTCCTTTTCCCATCACCTCACTCAAACATGAATTTTATGGTCTACCGAGTGGTTTTACAAGGTTAGTTTTGAAGATCAAATATGTTTGTCATGGCCTAATTAGTCTGCATGTCAATTTTCATGACAATCGGACAAAGTGGACACTAACTTCAAATATAAAAATTTGCAGGTGGGGAGGAAAAAGAGCCGAAACTGGAAAAGAGCACAAGATCCTATCTCAATGGTCTTAAGTTGTCTCTTTTTCCTCTTCTCCCGACCTGCGAATTTTAGTAAAAAAACTTATTTTCCGCGTTGTCCGATTGTTTTGAAAGTTGACATGCGGACTAACGAAGCCATGACAAACATATTTGGTCTTCATACTTAACCTGGTGAATCCACTAGTTACACCATGAAATCGATGGACTCTTTTCCAGTTCACCCCTTTAAAAATACCGAATTTTGTTTGTTTTACGTGTTATTACGACTAAATGCGTGATGTTACGCTGTAAACTATGAAGAACAAATCTGTTCAGAATTGTCGATTTGTTCACCACGCCAAATTTCATTGCACTATGACAACGTTAAATAGAAAATTGATATTGAAGGGGGGAACTGGAAAAGAGCCAATCGATGATTATGCGAGATGGGGGGAAAGGTGAAAGAGCCTTAAGTTGTTCTAGATCAAAACGTGGGCTCTTTTACAGTTCCCCACCTTGATTTTTTCTGAAATTCATTAAAGGAAAGTCTGTTTAAAAACTGCATTAATACGTGTCAGCGTGAACAGGTGAACTGCGTGAACAGGTGAACTAATTTTCACAACATAACATGCAAAATTCCGCGTGAACAATTTTTGGAGCAGCTTCATTTTGCTATTTTACGAGGCGGGTAGGAAACTATAAAAGAGCCAAAACGTGTCAGCTTGAAAAGGTGAACAAATTTTTTCAACTTGCATGAAAATTGGCCTTCCAGTTTCCACCCCATCGTACGATCGCAAGATAAAGTTGTCGAAAAGTTGGTCATACGTTTTTTTACTGAATTGTTAAAATGCTTTAATGACGCGAACACGTTTAATTTTGGTTCAGAACATCAAAAAAAATTTTGAGTATCTTTTCGTTAATCGAATATCAGGAAAAAATAAGAAGGCTTGCTGGAAAAAATACATTTAATTTTCGTCGGCTTTTTTTCAATTTCAGCGTAAAAAGCTGCAATAAATGCTCTTGAATGAATGCGTTTAACCTTTTCGCAATGAAGTCCTGACCGTTACAGACGAGAAGCTTCAGATATGACAAAATTATAGCGTTGCCCCGCGAGGAGGCGACTAAACTAAGAACAATTTAAAAACATAAGCAACTGATGCTAAATACAGGTAACATTTTGGGGCTTCTCATGAAAATCCTCCACAATGCATATATATACTCTCAAATTTTTAAATTCAATTTGTGGTTTGATTATGTCTATTCTTTTCTCCAAGTTAGTGTCGTTTTGAAAGCGTAGTGAAATTTGAGAACTATAAAAACGCGTAGAAGTTTAGTGAATTGGACGTAATCGACAACCTTTGTCCTCCAAAAACAAAGAATGGCTAACTTTTTCTAATTTAGCTCAAATTGTTTTTAGAATACCTTTATGGCCAAGAAAGCACTATATTATACATCCAAAATTAGTGGCTTTTACAGTAAATTTGAGTTTTTTAAGCCTTAAAGTCTAAATTAAAGTAAATTTTCATATAATCATGATTACTCGATCGCTTTAGTCTCTCGTAATTGAACTAAAATTAAAAAATTAAACCAGTTTTTCTCGACGCTGGGACGATTTTTTGATTTTTTATGTCATTCGAATCACTACTGAAAGGGCTTTAGTTTGGTATATCGACTTATTCCAATGAGTATTTGTGGTACCTGATTTTGCGTGGAAAACAGACAGAGAAAAATCTAAATTACAACCGAATACAAAGTTCCTCCCAATTTTCAATGGTCGGAACAAAAGTTTTATGGCTGCGATTTACCGAAATAACGCACCGATTGTGTATCTTATTAGCTATGTATAATAATGCGTTTTAGCAGGACGAGCTGAGGACAATAGTACTAAAAGTAGGAGCAAGAATATGGAGCGAGCAGCCAAAAGAGCATCTACAAGGAGCACCAGCGAAG